TTTTCATGTCTTTGTCTGGTTTCGATATGTGGGGAAAATTTAATAGTATGAGTTGAAAAGTATTACCTCATCATCATTTTGTAGAAGAGTTGGTGAGCACCTGACACTAATTCTTTAGATGTTTAGTAGAATTCCACGGTAAAGCCTTTCAGTCCTGTGCTTTTCTCCCTAGTAGATGACGGTGAAGAGAAAAAGAATCATCTCCTCAGTTGCCATAGGCACCTTATTTATTTTATCTCTTCTTATGTCAATTTCAGCAATTTGGTTCTCACAAGTCATTTGTCCACTTCATCTAAATTACTATTATTATATTTTTGTGTGTATGTGTGCATACTCAGGAGTGAGAGGCAGGAGGATCTCTGTGAGTTCAAGACCAGCCTGGTCTAAAGAGTGAGTTCCAGGACAGCCATGGATACGTAGGGAGACCCTGTCTCAATAACAAGAAGAAACAAATCATCATCCCAGATGTCTTAAAATCTCAATAGTAAATGCTTCTGCATTCATGCACAGTCTTTAACTGAGCCCCAACACCAATATTATACCTAATAAAATAGGAATTAATTTTGCACCTCTGGTCCTTGGCCCTTGTGCAAATGTTCTAGCTGTCCAGTCCTTCTAGTCCAGGCCCCTCCATGTGTCACTGTGGGCAGGGACCTTGACAATTGAGTAGTCAGGGACACCAGCTAGGTGTTGTGTACTGGGGGGAGGGAGTACATGTTCTCACTGCTCCTGTCTGGTCTGTTGCAGGAACAAATGTGGTATCTGGGGATGGCGGTCGGAGAAGATGGAGACTGTTAGTGGCTACGAGGCCAAGGCAGGAGGGGCTATTGGGCTAGGGGACTTGGGGGTAGCCTTGTGGGACCTGGGGGCTGAGCTCCTTCACCCCTTCATGCTATGGAGGGAGAGGTGGAATTGTTTTTTGACCCCAGCTGACTCCTTCCTAGGCTCTGAGATGAAATAGTGGGTGATTTATGTTTTGTTTTGTTTTTCTTGGCTCTCTGACTACATGTACCTGTTAGTGACTCCTGGGGTTCAGACCCTGCCCCCTGCTCTCCTATGGGGAAATTTTGTGTTTCTTTGGGAACAGGAAAACTTGGTCCTGGGCTGATGCGGCTGAATGTGAAGAACAGACTTTGAACCCTGAGTTCCTCGTGTCTCCCCCTGATCCTTAGGTGTACAGTGCCACCAATGTGGAGCTGGTGACACGCACAAGAACAGAGCATCTCTCTGATCAGGACAAGTTAAGGAACAAAGGTAAACCCAGGTGCGACTGCCTGCTGCCCAGTCATCCTGTGGCCTGGGGCCAGGGCTCAACAACCCCAGGCAGGGTGGGAGGCCTCCCTCTTCTTTCCAGAATCCTCTCCCACCTAGCAGGAGGGTGCCAGGCGGAGAATGGTAGGACACAGTCTGGGGAGTTGCCCAAAGTTCCCTCATGGTCCCCACTACTTCTTCTCAGGGGGGAAGACTCCGTTCCAGTCCTTCCTGGGGATGGCTCAGCAGCATTCCTCCCACAGTGGGGTGAGCTTGGCTGGGGAAGGGCTGGGCCAAGCCTGGGTGGGTGGGGCACTTTCTGTTCATACTAAGGGCTAAGTTCTGCCCTGGGGTCTGCTCAGGCTCCAGTGCAGCAGGCCGCCAGCCCCACCAACCCCACAGCAATTTCCCCTGAGGAGTACTTTGACCCCAGCTTCAGCCTGGAATCAAGAAACATTGGCCGCCCCATTGAGATGTCCAGCAAAGTCCAGAGGTGAGGTCAGGGGCAGTTTGGGGAGTCCCACCAGAAGACCTTGAGCAGTGGCAGAGTCCTGTCATGCATGGAGGGCATCACAGTGAGGGATCTGTTCACCTAGTAGGTTTGTCCCTGGACCAACTCCAGAGGGTGGGAGCCATGTCTGTCTTACCTATGGTCTAAACTAGAATGGGAGTTGGTCATACTTGGGTGACATCACCAATGTATTTGCTTGTTTGTTTGTCTGTTTTGGGCTACAAAGGGTTCTACTTTGTAGCCCTGGCATGTAGCTCACTATGTAGCTTGGGCTGGCCTCCAAGTGGTGGGATTACACCATTCCTGGCTTGTTTTCTTGTTCAACTCAGTGAGCATGTGCTAGGGACCAGACCATGACAGAGTGGGGAGGGCCCAGTGGTTTGTATCACAAGGAAATAATCTTCCCTTCTGGGAGTCTGTTTTCTTCATCAGAAAAACAGTCAACCAGAATTACTCCATGCAGCCTCACATGTCTCTACTCAAGAAAATGATTGGAGATGGGATTTAAAGCCAGAGTCCCGACCTCTGGGCTGTGCTCAACACTCAAGCAAAGTGCTTTTGTGTTTGTGTGTCCATCACAGTCCAGTGTATAGTACTGACTAGCTTTGGACAAAGACCAGGCTGTGGACAAGGCCCAGAGATAGCCCACAGGCTGGCTTCTGCACGTCCCCATGCAGATCAAAAGAGTGGCACAAAGCCATGATCACCAGAAGGGCCAGGGGCTGACTATCTTAGGCTTCAGAGCTAGTGTTGAGTTCCTAGGGGCGACAGTCAATAAGAGCTGAATGGGGAGAAGGGTACCACAGGCCAGTGACTAGAAAGGGTGAGGCATCAGGGGTCCCTGACCCACTTCCTCTGGTCGGCTGGATAGGTTCAAGGCAACACTGTGGCTAAGTGAGGAGCACCCACTGTCCTTGGGTGACCAGGTGACACCCATCATTGATCTGATGGCCATCAGCAATGCTCATTTTGCCAAGCTTCGGGATTTCATCACTCTACGCCTCCCACCAGGCTTCCCTGTCAAGATTGGTGAGAAGGCAACTAAGGGGCAACCAGGACTTGAGCATGACGCTCTCCTCAGTCAGGTTTGGGGTTACTGCAGGGGGCAAGCAGCTCAAACCTGTCTCCTCTCCTCTCAGAGATTCCCCTCTTCCACGTGCTCAATGCCAGAATCACCTTCAGTAACTTGTGTGGCTGTGATGAGCCTGTGAGCTCGGTGTGGGTCCCAGCCCCCAGTTCTGCCATTTCTGCTCCAGGTATGGCTATAGCTACAGGAGAGCTGGGTGGCTGTGCAGCTCTCTGATCTGCCTTGGGGCTGAATATGACCCATCTGTTACCCTGCCCAGGAAGCCCTTTTCCATGTGAGGTGGACCCCACAGTGTTCGAGGTACCTGAGGGGTACAGTGTTCTGGGTGCTGAGCGCAGTGAGCCCCTTCGAGATGAGGATGATGACCTGCTGCAGTTTGCTATCCAGCAGAGCCTACTTGAGGCAGGCACAGAGGCAGAGCAGGTGGGATGCAAGTGGAAGGTGGGTCATGACCTCGGCAGCCACAGGCCTGAGGTGACAGTTCTGGGCTCTGGCTGCTGCAGGTGACTGTGTGGGAAGCCCTGACCAACACACGGCCTGGCATTCTCCCTCCTCCCCAAGTCACAGTGTTTGAAGAGCAGCTTCAGCTGGAGCAGTGAGTCCCCCAGGAACTATTCGGGTCCTTGCTTGACTGGTGGGGGAGGGGAAGCAAGGTAGTTCTGATCTGAGGGCTCCATACCTTCACAAGACAGGATGACTGCTGCTAACCACAAGGAGCATGGAGGGCCAAAAAGAGTTGCTTGTTTCTCTCCCTGACATCTTGTCCCTCACAATTCCATGCTCTTGACTTCTTGCCAGGCCTTCTCATTGGTCTGTTTTCCCCTCAACCCTTGCCCTGAAGGGCCCTCCAGGAAAGCCTACAGCTGTCCACAGAGTCCAGGGCTCCAGAATCTCCTCAGAGGACACCTCCATCCCCAGTACCTCCAAGCTTTGAGGAGCAGCTTCGCCTGGCCCTGGAGTTGTCTTCAAGGGAACAGGAGGAGCAGGAGCGACGTGGTCAGCAGGAGGAGGAAGACTTACAGCGGATCCTGCGGCTGTCACTCACAGAGCACTGAGCTGTCTGGCCTTGGAAAGGCTCTCCAGGGTCATTCCTTCTGCCTGTTTTGTATTTATTTATTTATAAACTATCTGCTGCTGAGCTTGGGGTCTGGGCCCTGGAGGTAAGCTGGCAGAGAGGCCAAGGTGGAAATAAAGAGACCATCAGCAGAAGGCTTACTGTCCTCCATGGGCTGGAACCAAGGGGACACACGGGATGGGGGAACTATTGAAGGATGGTGACCTCAGCTCTAGCTTTGGATCCTCTGTTTCTTCAGCTGTAAAATAAGGTCACCACATAGCAGGTGTTCAAGGGATTCTGAGATTCCCCTAAGTACCACCTCACCTACCCCAATCCCAGGTGCCTGCCACCCAACTTGGTCTCCCCAAAACCTAGCCCACGCTCCTGCTGGGAGAAAGGCTGGGGCTTCCTATTCTCCCACTGGAGAAAGCTCCTTCCCTCCTCCCTGCAGCTTAGGCACAGGTTCCTACCCAGATTCAAATATCTTCTACCAGAGTGACTAAGTAAGCCACACCCACACCCCCTGTGCACAGTATCTGTGGGAGAGGCTCAACCCTGTCCTGTTCACTACTAGAGTGGCCCTGAAATGCCTATGGGCTTTGTAGGCTATTGCTAAGACCCAAATTCATTTCCTCAGAAGCCTGCTGGTCTCCTAAATTGAGTGGAGGAAAGAAGGCCAAGACAAAAGGAGAACAAGTTTGGAATGGGATGGTAGATGTAAGACCCAGTCGCTCCAGGCATTGTGTCAGAAATCTTTAATCCCAGCATTTGAGAGGCAGACACAGATGGATTTTTGCGAGTTCCAGGCCAGCCTGGTCCACAAAGTGAGTTGCAGTCATATCAGAGCTACATAGTGGAACCCTGTCTCAAACAAACAAAACCTATTGTCCTTGCTCCTTCCTTCTCAGAAGCCTGAGCATAAACCAGTGGAGGTGTGTAGCTACTCAGGTGATTTTACTGCAAAGAGGGCTGGGCGCCTCCTGTGGGAATAGCCTCCAAAACCAGGGAAGAACGTGAACTCTGGACCCCTTACCTGCGCCCCGCCCTTGGCCCCACCCTCAACCCCGCCTCCAGCGTGGACGGGGCGGGGCGAGCAGAACGGAGACTGAAGGGGTGGGGCCGCGGCCGATCGGTGCGAGCTCTGTGGGGCCGGACTGGGCACCAGTCGGGCCCTTTAAGGGCCGCTCCCGAGGAGGTGCCAAGCCCTAGTGACTCCAATCTCTTCTTCCTGGTCCTGCGAAGGCAGGGACTGACCGTAGGGCTGTGGGAGGGGTCGTGCCGGGCTTTCGTCCAGGTGACTCGGGCCTGGCCTTATGGCTCTGGTCACAGTGAGTCGCTCGCCGCCGGCTAGTGGCCACTCCTCGCCTGTGGGACCCACGGTGAGTTTAGCTTGGTCCTACCCTTTCGCAGCTGGCTGCCAGCTGGGCCTGAGGAAGCACGTCCTGCCTCTGGCAGCCGGCCTCACGCCTGGGAGTAGGAGGAGAGGGACCTTGAGTCTGCTGTTCCAGAGCACTTGGGAGATCCTGAGGCTCCCGGGAGCTCGACGTAGGTAGATGCGAAGTCCTGAGAGCCAACCCAGTCTGCAGAGGCCCAGATCCCTCCCACACTCTGCAACCCCCTGCCCTTGCAGCCCCGCTGTGCCCAGACTTAGGCAGGGACTCCCCTGGGGCCTGTGGAGGTGAGCGACTTAGAGAGAGGAGGGTTGTTTTGTTTTTTGTTTTTCTTTTGGTTTGGTTTGGTTTGGTTTTCCACCTAGGGTTCCCCTGAGGGGAGAGGAGGATAGGGTTTTGAGTGCTTCCTGTCCTGGGGGCTGATCTTTCATTCTGTCCCCGGGCTGCTTTCTCAGCAGGACCGAGTGGTCAGGCGTAGAGGCTGGCTCCAGCGCAGGTGAGTCCCTTCTCCGGACACACACTTCCTTATAGCCTGTGGCCTGGCTGCTGCTATAGTGGATTCCAGGTGTCTTGCTTGGGACCAAGGATTCATTGAAGTACTCTGATAAAACTCATGCTTAGGTGGGAGCCAGGGGCTGTGGGTGGAACTGGCAAACATCACATCCTTGGCGTGTGGAAGAACCAGCAGGGCTACCTTGGCCCTGGTCAGTGGATTATTTCACACATTACCTGGACCTTGGCCCAGGCCAGTGATCACAGGTCCAGGGGCAGGATGGGACCTGAAGATGTATAGGTGCCTGGACAAGTTTGGAGCACCTAAGCCCACCCAGAAAAGGGGCACATCCCCAGAAGTGAGCCCAAGGCTGGCTGGCCCTCTGACCACTATCAGGGTCCTGGTTAAAAATCCAAACTGTGCCTCACTCCAGGAGAGCTGACTCAGGAGAGCAGGCCAGCAATCCATTTCAGCATCCCTTCAGGGGACTCTTGCTAAAGTTTGAAAACCTATGGTCAGAACCATTTCCCCGTCGCTCTGCTAGGCAGAGTTTTGCAGTGCTCCGAGGAGCTGTCCTGGGACTTCAGGATGGAGGAGATGGTAATGATTCGGCTGAGGCAGACTCTGAGCCAATGGAGGAACCCTTGTGTGAGAAGCAGCCCACTGAGGACCAGACCGACAATGGGCAAGAATTCCAGAGTCCCTGGAAACAAGTGCAAAGGCAGCACCTGCACCTCATGGTGGAGCTGCTGAGGCCACAGGATGACATCCGCCTGGTAAGGGACTTGTGTCTATTGAGGAACAATGCTGTGAGATTAGGGGGCACCTAGGCAGTTGATGGGGGGAATTACCCAGTCCCCGAGAATTCTGCCACTTCAGCTAGAAGCATCTTATCAGGGCAAGATCATGTCTGTCTGCAGAGAGCTGTGAAAAGACAAGGGAGGTTTGTCATGTATGAGCCGTGAGGTGGGGGTTACATGAGGGAGGTTTCTGTTAATCCACAGGAGGCCCCTGTTGATACTAGTGAGTTGCCCAGAGATGGACTCATACTCCCAGGCTTTGTGAAGCATGTTGGCAGCTAGTGTGCCAGCTAGGCAAACAGAGTGCCCACAGAGGGCTGGGGTCTACTGGAGCCTAAGAGCCAGCTCCTGAAAGAGTGTGGAGGCAGATACTTGCTGTTGGCAGCAAAGCATGAAAAACAAGATGTAGGCTTTGGTAAAGCAGGGTTTAGAACAGGAATGTTGTTCTTTTTTTTAAATTTATTTTTATGTTCTTTGGTGTTTTGCCTGTGTGATGGGTGTCAGAAGCCCTGGAATTGGAGCTACAGACAGGTGTGAGCTGCCATGTGGACCCTAGGAATTGAGCTTCAGTCCTGGAAGAGCAGTCAGTGCTCTTAACCACTAAGCCATCCCTCCAGCCCCAGGAGTACTGTTCTAACCCTTTATAAATCCTTCTAGCATGTATGAGGCCCAACATCGTTCCTTTGGTAGAAGGCATATCTTAAAATATTGGCTAGTGGCAGGGTTATTAAAACCCTCCTTGCAAGGCTGGAGGGATGGCCCAGGGGTTAAGATCTCTAATTGCTCTTTCAGAGAAACCAGGTTCAATTCCCAGTAACTACATGGCATCTCACAACCATCTCTAACTCCAGTCTCAGGATTGCCAACACTCTCCTGGAATCTCAGTACCAGGCATGCGTGAGATGCACAAAAATACATGCAGACAAAGCATCCTTACAAATAAAATAATTTTTAAAAAGATAAAACCTCTTTGCTAGGCAGAAACAAAAATGAGGCTACCTCTAACAATGCTATCCTCCCCTCCTCTTTGGGGGGTGAGGGGGTAGTGTTTCGAGACAGGGTGTCTCTGTGTAACATCCTAGCTGTCCTGAAACTTGCTTTGTAGACCCGGCTGGCCTCAAACTCACGGAGATCTGCCTGCTCTGCCTCCCTAAGTGCTGGGATTAAAGTTGTGCGCCACCACGCCCAGCCTCCCCTCCTTTTCTTACACTCCCCATTTGAGGCTTCAAAAAAAAGTTTGTTGAGCCATAAATTACAAAATTTGAGTATTGCTGTGTTCTCAAGTAGCCACTGATATTCTGTATGGGAGTTTGGGGGAACAGGGGCTAGCAAGGCACAAGGTGTGTCTATGTGGGAGCTCCTATGATTCCAGGGCTTCTTCCATTTTCCCAGGCAGCCCAGCTGGAGGCAGCCCGGCCTCCACGACTCCGTTACCTGCTGGTAGTGTCCACTGGAGAGTGTCTGAGTCAGGAGACCATCCTTCTGGGAGTGGACTTTCCTGACAGCAGGTAGGAACAGAGAGAAGAGGGTTGGGACAAAGATGGAGGTGCTGAGGGACAATGGCTCTCCTGTTCTATCAGTTCCCACAGCTGCACCCTGGGCCTGGTCTTGCCCCTCTGGAGTGACGCCCAGGTGTACCTGGATGGCGATGGGTAAGAGGTGGCAACAGTGGGGGGGGGCAAGAATTGAAGAATAGTGGGACTAGGTCTGAGACTTACTCTTTTTTACTGTGTGATCTTGGGAAAATCACCTAACTCTAGGCCTCAGCCTCCCCCATCTGACAAATGAACAGGTTCTCTGAGAGCCTGATTTGTGGTTCTACCTTCCCTGGGTCTCCTGTAGGGGCTTCAGTGTGACATCTGGTGGTCAGAGCCGAATCTTCAAGCCAGTCTCCATCCAGACCATGTGGTAAGTGCTGCAGTAGCCTAGCCTTAGGCCAACCTCTTCTTGGGAGATGGCCTCCAGGCCCAGGAGAGGGAACCAAGTAAGAAGGTGCGTGTCTTAGCCTGTTTTTCTTGTCCCAGGGCCACACTGCAGGTATTGCACCAGGCATGTGAGGCAGCTCTAGGCAGCGGCCTTGTGCCTGGTGGCAGTGCCCTTGTCTGGGCCACGCACTACATGGAGAAAGTGAACTCTGACCAGGGTTGCCTCAATGAGTGGATGGCCATGTCTGACCTGGAGTCCCTGCGACCACCTATTGCTGAGCCTGGACAGTCAGTGCTGGAGGGGTGGGGATTGGGGTGGTACCACAGTGAAGGGATGGCCTCTTACTGAAAGATCACTACCAGGGCCTCGGAACAAGAGCAGATGGAGCAGGCGATCCTGGCTGAGCTGTGGCAGGTGTTGGACACCAGTGACCTAGAGAGTGTTACTTCCAAAGAGGTGGGCAAGGTGGCTGGGCCACCAGATTCACCTTTCTTTGGGGCCTTTCTTCCCCTTGTTTCCTCCAGCCCCGAGGCATTCCCTAATCCCTGACTTTTAGCTCTGTGTAGATGGGACAGGGTCCCATCCTCAGAGGCTTCACAGGTATGGTGATCTAAACTCTCTTCCCTTGCACCACTCCCATAGATCCGCCAGGCCCTGGAGCTGCGTCTGGGATGCCCTCTTCAGCAGTACCGTGACTTTATTGACAACCAGATGTTGCTGCTTATGGCCCAGCAAGACCGAGCCTCCCGCATCTTCCCCCACCTCTACTTGGTGAGTGCAGGCTGTTGGAGGTGGGGACCAGATCACCCATGCAGCTGCTGTGACAGGTCCTGTAGCTAGAGGCAAGACACAGGAGCCCAGTGCTCTTCTGCTCCTACTCCACAGGGCTCTGAGTGGAATGCTGCCAATCTGGAGGAACTTCAGAGAAACAGGTAGGGTTCCCCAGCTGCAGGACTGCCCATCATTCTCTCAGCCTTCCTGTGGGGTAGCCTGGCCAGTTTCTGGAACCTTAGATCACCCCCAGCACTGCTCTTTCTGCTTTAACCCAGTCCTGGGGATGCTGCACTCACTTGTGTCAAAGGCCTCAACAGCATGGCCATTTGCCCCACTAAGCACACACAATGGTGCAGAGATGAGGTCTCTAAGACAAGGGGTGCTGGTGGGCACTTGCCAAGCAGAAGAGGTTCCTGCCAGCCTGGCCACCTCTTCAGGTATAAGAAAATGCCTTCTTTTGGTAGGGATGTGGATACCACTTCTGAAAGGAACCTGCCATCCCCCACTGTGGGCTGCTGGGAGACCTGCTGTAGCTGGGAGCCCCCTAACCTCAGCTTAGCTTTAAGCTAACTGCAGTCTGAATCATGGACGAGGGTTAGTGTTTACTCCTCCTCAGGGAAACTCATTCCCAACAGAGTAACACACTGTGCCCTAGGTCAGTCAGCTGATGGCTGGTTCAGTTATTTTCCTACTCCAAGTGTTGCCACCCCAGACTCAGAACCAAGAACCAAACAGAAATGGCCCGTGGTGCGCTTGGTTCCTTTGCCACATCAGTCTGGTTTTGGACCCTCTGGCACAGGGTTAGCCACATCCTGAACATGGCCCGGGAGATTGACAACTTCTTCCCTGAGCGCTTCACCTATCACAACGTGCGTGTCTGGGACGAGGAATCAGCACAGCTGCTGCCCCACTGGAAGGAGACACACCGCTTCATTGAGCGTGCCAGGTTGGGTTCCTCCCAGCTTCTGCACCCTCCTTAGCTTCCAGTGGGGACTGGTGCCCTCCTCCTGCTCATCTTGCCCTTGGTTCTGTCCCCTCTGTTGCCCTCTCTAGTTTCACTTCCTTCTCTCTGCTGGGTCCTAAGCCCTTACCTTCCCCTTCCCAGTCTCCAGACTACTGGGGTTGAGGGAGAATGGACTAACCATATCCCACCTCCATAGAGCACAGGGCACTCGGGTGCTAGTCCACTGTAAGATGGGTGTCAGCCGTTCTGCTGCCACGGTGCTGGCCTATGCCATGAAACAGTATGGCTGGGGTCTGGAGCAAGCCCTGATCCATGTGCAGGAGCTCCGGCCCATCGTGCGCCCCAACCCTGGCTTCCTGCGCCAGCTACAGACCTACCAGGGCATTCTGACTGCCAGGTATGGGGGAGGGGACAAGGGAGAAGATGTGTATACTGGGGGGTGGCTGCTGTGTCACTCAGAGCTGACTCAGAGCCACCTCCTCACAGCCGGCAGAGCCATGTCTGGGAGCAGAAAGTGGGTGTGGTCTCCCCAGAGGAGCCCCTGGCACCTGAAGTTTCTACACCATTGCCACCTCTTCCACCAGAACCAGGAGGCAGTGGGGAGGTGATGGTTATAGGTTCCAAGGAAAGCCAGGAAGCCCCCAAAGAAGAGCTTGGGCTGAGGCCCCGCATCAACCTCCGAGGAGTCATGCGCTCCATCAGTCTCCTAGAGCCCTCCTCGGAGCCAGAGAGAACCCCAGAGGCTGGAGACCTGCCAGAGGTGAGTCTGAGCAGCAGAGCCCTGCCTACAGTAGCCTTGCAGAAGAGAATGTGGAGCAAGTGCTAGAGCTTGACTTAAGGCTCTGGTAGGCCCCTCACAGTAGGGTGTTGTCCTTGCTTCCTCCATGCTGACCACTTTACACCTTTCTGTGCCAGGCAGCTCAAGACTGTCCTGAGTACCCAAGGATGGGGACCACCTTTGGGCTCCTCCTTTTATGCCAGGCCAGGCAAGAACAGTGGTCCCAGGGTCTAAGCAGTGGCAGATCAGCCTAACAGACTGGCTCCATTTCCTAAGGGCTTGGCTCCTAGCTTTGGAGTGAGCATCTTCCCAGGGCCATGAGCTCTACTGCCAGCTGATGGCTGGAAAAGCTTCCTGCACTGGAGAGGATAGGTAAGAGCATTCCTCAAGTCCCTCCTGTGCGCCGAGGAGCCACACAGCAAAGGACCGGGCAGAGACGAGACTGTGTACTCACACAGTCACCTACTAAGTGAACAAACAAGCATGCTGTGTGCTGAGAGTTGTTGGGCACAAGCTAGGACAGGAAGCTGGCCCTTGCCTGAGGAAGCCAGGCCCCACATGTGACATGAAGTCACATGGCTAACCGAAAAGAAGGAGTCTGTGCAGGCAGAGCATTTAGGTGCTGGGCATGAACCCACAGGGAGGAGTGGGATTAATGGTGGGCTATTGTCAAAAGCAAGTATCCTATGAGGTACCTGACACTGCACCCACAGAGCCCTGGTGCCTGTCAGGGTCCAGCTGTGGCTTACGGGATTGAATGTATGAAGGCAGAGGGGTGAGAGGAGAAGGTGGTTGAAGTCAGGCTCGGGGGACTAAGAAGGCTTCTAGGGTCCAGAAGAAAGCTCAAGCAAGTACAGCCAAGAAACAGGGGCTGGGTGCTCTTTTCCCCTTGGGATGCGTGTACCTACCCCTTTCCTGGCTCTGAGCTCCCTGTGGTTCTTTTTCTTCCCCCACCCAGGTTTTCTCTTCCCATGAATCTTCAGATGAAGAGCCTCTTCATCCCTTCCCTCAGATTTCAACAGCCAAAGGTGGTCACAGCCAAAGGGCCCACAGGGGGCCTTGGCCTGCCCTGAAGTCTCGCCAGTCTGTGGTTGCCCTTCATAGTGCTGCCCTGGTGGCTAGCAGGACCCGGGCCTTCCAGGAGCAGGGACAAGAGCAAGAGCAGCGGGAGGCTGGTATGCCTTCTACACCTAGGCTCCGGAAAGTGGTGAGGCAGGCCAGTGTAGACGACAGCAGAGAGGAGGGTGGGGCCTAAGCCTTTATACTCTGTCCCGCTAGACACTAAACAGACTGGTCACAGCTCCTCAGATGAGCACCTTTGCACCTCTGGGCCTGCACACTCCATATAGCTAGCTCCTCCCCAGCAGTCCCTAGACCTTTGTCATTTCCTGCAGCCTTAGGTCTCAGGTAGCTCATGTCTTCCTGTCAAGGGCTCAAGACTTTTTCTACATAGGGTATATGAGTAGAACCATTAATGGTGCCTTAAAGGGTAATAACACCCTAGTTTCATTATGGAATTAAATTGTTAGGGCAGGTTTTCTGGTTCATGTCCCCCTTGCCCTCAACTTTTGGCCATCCTGTCCCATTCCTCCCACCTCTCCTCCTGAAGTCCTACAGGCAGCTAGGCCAAGGGTCCAGGGACCACAAAGGTAGATAGCACTTTCAGTCCCCAGCCCCATAGGCTCTGAGGGGGCTCAGAGTTCACCCTTCACACAACTGATCAGAATCTCTGCTGCTGCTGAGTTCTCCCATGGCCCTCACAGGGTCTCAGGGCACTGGGCTAAAGAGAGTCTTCTTGTTTTTGAAGATCTCTGGCCAGTCAAGTTTTTCATAGTCGTGTAGTATCTGGCTTTGTACTGAGAAATAAAAGACATTTTCATATTAAGTTTTTTTTTTTTTTCATTTGGTGACAAAGCCATCTGTCTTTCAATCAGACCCTTCTCTGTTTACACACCACACATAGCGTCTTCTACTCCTTCCAGCTTCCTCATGTCTCTCAGGTGTCTGTGACAGACCTGTTTAGGTTGAGTGGTGTGTTGGCGGTGGGGGAGGAATAGCCAGTGCTATCTCCTCATCTCTAGGGCCTGGGTAAATGTTAGCCATCCTGTCATTAACAGGTGCAGGGAAACTAGCCTATATGGGGTTGTGGTTCTGCTGGGACAGCTAAAGGGAGTTAACTATGAGGAAGTAGAACGCTGCTGCCTCCCTGGACAAGCCTGTCCTTAGGGCTGAACTTCCTTTGGGACATTTGATGCTAGTTTTTGAGGATATTTGGATTCTAAGAATCTCCTTCCAGCCGGGCAGTGGTGGTGCACACCTTTAATACCAGTACTCGGGAGGCAGAGACAGGCGGATCTCTGTGAGTTCGAGGCTAGCCTGGTCTCCAGAGCGAGTGCCAGGATAGGCTCCAAAGCCACACAAAAAAACCCTGTCTCAAAAAACCAAAAAAAAAAAAAAAAAAAAAAAGAATCACCTTCCAAGCTGGGCACAACTTTAATCCCAACATTTGGGAGACCGAGGCAGGATGATCTCTATGAGTTTGAGGCCAGTCTGGTCTACAGAGTGAGTTCTAGTACAGCTAGGCTTACAGGGCTACAGAGAAACCCTGTCTCGAAAAACTTTAAAACTAAAAAGAAAAAGAAGGAAGGAGTTAGTGCTTCTATCATTGTCATTGTCATTTCCATCCTAGTGTTTTATGACACTGTGACATACTACACTGGTTTGTGGTAACTGTGTTCAGTGCCAGAACTGACTCCAGACATGAGTATCACACATGTCCAGTTTCATCGAAGTCTTTCCCATACCCTTGGGGGATTCCCAGTCCTATCCTAACCCTAAAATGGAGAGCTCTGGGTGAGGAGACCTGAGAGTCTCAGCCCGGGCTTCATCACTTCCAAGTCACTGCATCCAGAGTCTGTTTCTTTTTGTAAAACAAAGCAAGCCTGGGAAGCCATAAGCACCCCACTTCTCTTTGGTTTTTGTTTAGAGAAATATAGATCACTTACAGCTAGAGATCATCTTCTGAGTGCTCTCTGGAATAAGAGTCATTTAAACACATCTGGTGACATGCATGGGGTCAGAGGGGGGGTTCATTACTGACCCAAGGCACTGAGCAGATGTGGGACTGACTGCCTTCCCTCCCAACCAGGAGTCACACCATACTGCAGAGGCTAGGGCTGAGGGCTGGTCAGATCAAGTGTCAGGAGGACAGCCCTCTTCCTGCTGCTAGCTCAGCTCCTTCTAATTCTCTATTCACAAGGACCCTAAGAAATAAGGATTCAGCTTTGGGGAAACAAAGACTAGAAAGAAAACTATTTGCATCAAAAATACAGACAAGTAATTAAGATATGTGTATACAAAAATTAAACAGATTGCTAGAGAGTTTAACAGAAAATGAGAGTTTATTCTCTGTCCTACTCTTTTAGTGCCTCTCTTCCCATCTTCACAAGCAATGGTTCTTCATAGCTTCTGAGGCTATGTAGTTAAATATACTAGGATATGTTTTCTTTGGAAATGTAGGTGATAGCATTTTAAAAATTTTAATTACATTTTTATGCTTTGTGTGTGTGTGCCTGTACATACTTATGCCACAGCTTGTAGGTAGAGGTCAGGAAAACAGAGGAGTCAGTTCTCCCAACATGTAGTTTCTAGGGATCAAACTCTGGCAGGTGCTGGATCCACTGATTCCTCCTGGTGGCCCTAAACAGCAGCTTATTAAAACCCTAGGTTGGGGGTGGTGGCGGTGGTGATGATAGTGGCAGCAGGGCACATCTTTAATCCTAGCCCTCAAAAGGCAGAGACAGGTCAATCGCTGTGAGTTCAAATACAGCCTGGTCTACAGAGTTCCAGGACAGTCAGGGTTACACAGAGAAACCCCCATCTCGAAACAACACCTAAAAATTCTATAGAGCACTTTGAAATAATTTCAAACCACAAGTTTCACATAACTTTCACATTAAAATGTGCCCCAATTAAAATACCCAGCCATACAAATCTCTGTGAGTTGGAGGCCAGCCTAGTCTACAGAATGAGTTTCAGGACAGCCAAGGCTACACAGAGAAACCCTGTCTCAAAAGACCAAAAAGAAAACAACAAAAACCCCAGCCATAGCTTCTTCAGTGGTAAAGGGTTTGCATAGCATGTTCATGGCCCTGAGTTCATCACAAAGCAGCAACATACAAAAAAAAAATTAACCATACACATTAAATTTTATAAAATATATTATGTACTTAAGTGACCTTTAAATTTATTGTATTTTATTTTTCGAGACAGGGTCTCCCTTTGTACCCCTGGTTGTCCTCAAACTTACTCTGTAGACCAGGTTGGCCTTGAACTCAGAGATCTGCCTGCCTCTGCCTCCCCAGTTTTGGGATTAAAGGTTTGTGCCACTTCCTGGGCTATATAAAAGACCATTTATTAACAGTCTGTTTACATTTTTTAAAAATCACATTCCAAGTAGCATTTCACTATGTAGTTTTGTCTGTATTTTTGTTTGCAAAAATACTTCGTTTGCGGCTAACTCTGTAGGACACATTTCTAAAATTGCTAAAGCAAAGACTGCATTTTTAATTTCGTGAGACATTGCCTAATTTCCTTCCAGGAAGTTGCACCTATTTACAGTAAGGGCCATCCAGCCTAACACCCAAGTCACCTTGCAGTACTCTCAGAGGGATAAAGGGCAGGGCTTACAAACACCAGTGTTTAGAAACCAAGACTCAGAAGAAATTTCTGAGTATCTAACAGAGTCTCAATCCGATCCTGGGTTTCTAGATTTCAGCCCGGGAGCCTAACTCCGGACACGGAGACGTCTGTTTCTCAGAGGTCAACTCACTGATTTTACACTGGTGCTCAAGCGGTGGAGAGCCTCCTGAAAACACCAGAAAGCGCCTGCTTTCAGGGTCCCCATTCAATTCCCACCTGATACCGCAGCCCGACTTGAACACTTGGTTCATCTCTCAAGGTAGCCCCATCTTGTGCTAGTTCCCATCCTCAAAGCCTTCTTCCGGTCAGGAGCCAGGGCAACACCTCGTTAGGCAGTATAAAAACACAGCAAACTCACACCCTCCTCATAGCTCGCGCTTCCGCCCCTACTCCGCACCGTAGACGTCTCACAGCTAGGGCGTCTACGACTTATCAGGCTCTGGCGGCCTTGCCTCAGGCCACAGTAACAGCGACAGTGACTCTACTCATTAGAACCAACCGCGACGCTCGGGCGCCATCTTGTGGTCATTTCTCAGGACTATGAATGGCAAACCAAAAACTACATTTCCCAGCGTGCCTGGCGCAGCTGCGCAGGCGCAAAGAAATCCTCTCGTTTCCATGGGAACCCCGACCCACCGGTAAACCGGACAGTTCTGTGAGGGGTTAGAATGTTTCTCGCTTAGAAGCTAGGAGCTAGACTACCGGATGTGCAGACCATTGCGGGAGAAAGTGATGAACTTGCCTTGTCTCTCGGGAACATCGCAGTCAAATTCCCCTGGGTATCCTGGCGTCCGCGCTCTCCCGGGGCCTCCGCGTCTCCAGGAGCCTGGCAAGAACAGTGTTTTGCTCTGGCCTATAACGTGCGGCTCCTCTGAGTCAGTTTCTAAATCTTGTCGTCCTCAGCCGAGCGCCTGCGCGCCGCACACAGGTACTCCTCCGGCGCGAGCGGACAGCGGGCCGTGGTAGTGGGCGCTGAGTGTATGTGGAGACCAGGGCTTGGACCTGACTCTGCCTCCAAAGAGTTGGGACTCCAGGCTGACCCCCAGCTTCAGTACTCGTCCTTGTTCCCGCCCGACACAATGAGGTTTGCCCTGGAATAGAAGGCAAATGCCTTCATTTCGTTGAACCCAAGTTCACGAAATAAGGAAAGAACTTTTTTTTTTTTTTTTTTTTTTTTTTTTAAAGTTTTAGATTTATTTATTTATCATGTATACAGTGCAGGCCAGAAGAGGGCACCAAATCCCATTACAGATGGTCGTGAGCCACCATGTGGTTGCTGGGAATTGAACTCAGGGAGAACAGTCAGTGCTCTTAACCCCTGAGCCATCTATCTCCAGCCCAAGGAAGGAACTTTGAAGCAGGATGTGGTGCACGCCTTTAGATGAAAATGGGTCTCTGTGAGTTCAAGGCCAACCTGATTGATGTACATATTGAGTCCCGGCCAGCCAAGGCTATAAGAATTTGTCTTAAAAATAAATTTAAAAAAATAATAAAAGATTTTAAAAATAATAATAAATAAATAAATAAATAAAGATATTGAAGCAAATAATCCCCAAAGGTGTTTTCTAGCCATACATTTTACCTCCATTTAGTCACTACTAAGTGCAAGAAAAAAAAGGTGGTGGGGGCATTGAGATTTTTTTTAAGCAAGAATCTCAGCTCGGGATGTGATCCAGTCAAACCTGGGTTTGTGATTTGGGTGCAGACTTATTACACCTTGAGCTTCAGTTTTTATGGGCACAAATAAGAGTAATGCCAACTCATGTTTTTGTTTTTGTTTTTGTTTTTGTTTTCGAGACAGGGTTTCTCTGTGGCTTTGGAGGCTGTCCAAGAACTAGCTCTTGTAGAGCAGGCTGGTCTCGAACTTACAGAGACCCACCTGCCTCTGCCGCCCTAGTGCTGGGATTAAAAGCGTGAGCCACTACCACCGGGCCCAACTCATGTTTTTTTGTTTTGTTTTAAGGTTTATTTATGTGTGGGGGCAATTTGCCTGTATGTATGTATACCAGGTGAGTACCTGGTGCTGATGGAGGTCAGAAATGGTGTCAGGTTCTCTGGAACTGAAGTTAAGCATGGTTATAAACACCGCCCCCCCAATGTGGGTGCTAGGAATCAAATCTGGTCCTCTACAAGAGCAACAAATGCTCTTAAGTGCTGAGCCAGGACCCCCCCACACACACCTCAGATTGTTTTGTTTTTCAAGACAGGGTTTCTCTGTAGCCTGGCTGCCTTGGAACTCAGACCAGGCTGGCCTCAAACTCACAGAGATCTGCCTGCCTCTGCCTCCCAAGTGCTGGGATTAAAGGCATGTAGCCACACTGCTTGGCCAGATCCCTAATTTTTTAACTAACTTTTATTTCTGGGCATACCCATTCTTTTCGGGTAGGATCATGTATTTACAGGTTGAGTCTACTCACTCAAGGTTTGCTGCTGAAGGCCAGTGCACTCACGGGCACAGTATGTAGGGATGACCCAAGGTCCAACATCAGGTAGTGGGGAAGATACCTTTCCTTTCCTAAGATTCTTAGATGATGGAGAGATGGCTCAGAGGTTAAGAGCATTAACTGCTCTTCCAGAGGTCCTGAGCCAGTGCTCTTAACTTCTGAGCCATCTCTCCAGCCCCTGAATAGTCTTTGTACTTTAATCTGGGTCCTCCATAACTTCACAAAGAATGTCCATTCATCTAACAAACATTTTTTCAGTTAATTTATTTATTACAGTATTCTACCTGCATGTATGCCTGCAAGCCAGAAGAGGGCACCAGATCTTATTACAGATGGTTGTGAGCCACCATGTGGGTGCTGGGAATTCAACTCAGGACCTCTGGAAGAGCAGCCCTTAACCTCTGAGCCATCTCTCCAGCCCTCTAACAAACATTTTTATGTGAAAGCTATTCCAAGAAATTTGTTTGTAGATTAATTCATTTTACTTTATGTGAATGCCTGTTTACTTACATATATGTATGTGTACCTACCATGTGCATGCCTGGTGCCCATGGAGGTCAGTAGAGGGCACCAGATCCTCCTGGAACTGAAATTAGGGATGCTGTGAGCAACCAAGTGGGTGCTGATGGTCAAACCTGGGTCCTCTGCAAGAGCATTAGAGCACTAGGCCATCTCTCCAGCCCCATGAACAGTTTTGGTTTTTTGAGACAGGGTTTTCTGTGTAGCCCTGGTTGCCCAGAAATTCACTCTGTAGACCAGGCTGGCCTTGAACTCAGAGGTCAGCCTGCCTCTGCCTCCTGAGTGCTGGGACTTTAAATATGTGCCACCATCACCCTGCTCCCATGAACATTTTAAAACACCTATTATGTATGTGGTACTATGTGGGGTACTCTGTAGAATGTGATGATATATAATATAATCTTTCTTCCAGGAAACATGGGATCTGACAGGGAAATAATTATGAGTCCAAACACATAATTTAAGTAGAAATTATTGTAGCATTTAAAGTCTAGGTCACTGCTCTGGAGATTCCAAAGAAGGAGAGACTATTCCCAAGTCATTCTATACCTAGAAAAAGAGGAGACTACATATGAGCTACCTAATATTTGTGTAAAGTGTATGTCAAAAATTATGAAAAAGGTATTCTAGGGACCCTTTTTACAGCCTGTGACACATAGAGAACCATCTGTACTCCTGACTAGATAGTCCTAAAGACAGATTTTGGTGTTTGTTTTACTCTCTGCTTGATGTATAGTTGACACATAATATGTACCAATGAATAGTTTTCTGTAAAGGGAACCAGACTGGAGTCTGTAAATTATCCTTTGCCTTCATACAGCCATTCCTATAGAGGAAGAGTGTGACCATGCAGATGACTATGAGGCCAGAGCCAGATGGTTGGCATATTTTGTACAGTACCAGCCCACTGAGAAAACAAATGAATAAAGTGTAGAAAGGTCTATGAACCTCCTTTCCTAGAGCTTAAGGGAAGAGCTATACCGGAGAAATGAAACTTAAACCATGAAGGAATCTTTTTTTAGGGGGAGGGGTTTTCAAGACAAGGTTTCTCTGTGTAGCTTTGGAGCCTGTTCTGGAACTCACTTTGTACACCAGGCTGGCCTCAAACTGAGAGGTCTGCCTGCCTCTGCCTCCCGAGTGCTGGGATTAAAGGCATGTGCCACCACTGCCAGGCTCCGTGAAACACTTTTTTTTTTAGATTTTATTTATTTATTAAGAATCCAACATTCTGCTTCCATGTATATCCGCAAACCAGAAGAGGGAACCAGATCTCATAACGGATGGTTGTGAGCCATCATGTGGTTGCTGGGAATTGAACTCAGGACCTCTGGAAAAGCAGCCAGTGCTCTTAACTTCTGAGCCATCTCTCCAGCCCCCGTGAAACACTCTTAAAGAACAATGGTGGATATCCCTTTGATTTATGTTCGTACTAGACTCTCTTCTCCGATAACCAACTCTTTCCCAGGGTCATTTCTCTCCTGTGTATAACCCCTTTGGTTTTGGGAAGCTATATCTGTAATACCAGATTACCAGACTGCTGCAAAAGGATGACATTACCACCTGCAGCTCCATCTTCAGGGTGATTTGGCGGATCCTGCTTTTCTCCAGTCCTACCCAAAAATTACTCTTTCAGAGACAGGTGTCCAGAGATTCAAGGCAGTGGTATCTCTTGAGGAAGGCACAAATAGATAAGACTGAGCCGGGCAGTGGTGACAGGTGCCTTTAATCCCAGGAGGCTGGGAGGCAGAGGCAGGTGGATCTCTGTGAGTTCAAGGCCAGCCTGGTCTACTGAGTGATTTCCAGGACTACACAGAGAAACCCTGTCTCAAAAAACCAAAAACATAAAACAAACAAAACAGAGATAAGACTGAAAGGAGAAAGACTCAAGGACAGGCTGTTTAATTTATCAAAGATTCTGAATTCTCCTACTTGTCTTGCTTGAGGTGGATGCAAAGTCGCCTTCAAAACAGGGGGACGGTATAAAAGAGGGGCAAGTGAGCAATCAGTTGCCTGTTTTGTCCCTAGATATGGAATGGCTCAGGACTCCAGGGGACTACAAGTGCTCTCCTTCCTCAAGAAATAAGCCAAGGAGAGCTCTTATCCTCCTGATGGCCCTGCTGGTGCTCTATGTTTGCTCCTACTCCCCTGGCTGAAGGTAAGTGGCAGCAGGGTGTGTGGTCTAAGAGGGAGGTGCCTGGTCTCACTGCAACTTGAGATGCCATGTCTGGTTGATGTCCATGGGAGGCCTGCCCTTTCCTGAAGAGAAATGGAGAAGAAATGGTCTGGGAGTAGGGGTGGGAGGAGGGACTGGGAAGAGAGGAGGGAAGGAGAAACATGATGTAAAAAAAATAATTTTAAAAAATAGGGGAAAAGCCAGGCAGTGGTGGTGCACGCCTTTAATCCCAACACTCGGGAGGCAGAGGCAGGTGGATCTCTGTGAGTTTGAGGCCAGCCTGGTTTCCAGAGCGAGTGCCAGGATAGGCTCCAAAGCTGCACAGAGAAACCCTGTCTTGAAAAAACAAACAAACAAACAAACAAAAGAATCCAAATACTTATGAATATGATAATAAATGAATAAACTGTGTATGTGCATAAAAGGATTATTATTACCATGGCACAACTTGGCTACAACCTGAACATATTATGCTAAGTGAATTAAACCACACACAAAAGCTCAAATAAGGTAAGATCCCATTTATATGCAGTACCAAAAGAGGTAAATTCACAGAAAGCATATTGTACAGCAGGGTGAGTTTCTGTTTGGTAATGAAAAGGTTCTGGAAATGGATAGTGCTGAGGGTTGCATAACACTACAAATGTACTTTGTGTGTACAGTATGGTGACTGAATCTAGGATCTCACTTATACTCACTAGGCAAGTGTTCTTTCATTGAGCTATAGCTGCAGCCCTGTGAATGTACTTGATGCTACAAGTGTATGTTTTAAACTTTTATTTATGTATTTATGTGTATGGGTGTTTTACCTGCACGTATGTCTGTGCATTTTTTTTTTTTTTTTTTGGCTTTTCAAGACAGAATTTCTCTGTGGCTTTGGAGGCTGTCCTAGAACTAGTTCTTGTACACCAGGCTGGACTCGAACTCAGAGAACTGCCTACCTCTGCCTCCCGAGTGCTGGAATTAAAGGCATGCGCCACCACCGCTACCCAGCATCTTTTAACCCACTGAGACATTGTTTCAGTCACCAAGCAATTATATACTTTATGTATTTTTTAAGATTTTATTTATTTATTATGCATACAGTATTCTGCTTCCATGTATATCTGCACACTAGAAGAGGGCACCAGATCTCATAACAGATGGTTGTGAGCCACCATGTGGTTTCTGGGAATTGAACTCAGGACCTCTGGAAGAGCAGACAGTGCTCTTAACCTCTGAGCCATCTCTCCAGACCTATACTTTATGTTTTGAGACAAGGTCTCTCTATAAAACCCTGGCTATCTTAGAACTTGGTATGTAGACCAGGCTGGCCTCAAACTGGCAAAGATCAGCCTGCCTCTGCCTCCTGAGTCCTGGGATTAAAGGTGTGTGCACACCTGGTCCAATTATACATTTTAAAATGAGAAAGTAAATTGAGTATAGTAGTGCGTGTTATAATCTCAACACACAGAAGGCTGAATCAGGATGAGTTTGAGGCCAGCCTAAGCTATACAGCAAGAAAAGGGGTAAAATAGTAAATTTTATGTTATTCATGGTTTTTTTTTTTTTTTGGTTTTTCGAGACAGGGTTTCTCTGTGTAGCTTTGGAGCCTATCCTGGCACTTGCTCTGGAGACCAGGCTGGCCTCGAACTCACAGAGATCCTCCTGCCTCTGCCTCCTGAGTGCTGGGATTAAAGGCGTGCACCACCAACTTTGGTGTTTTGTCTGTATGTATGTCTGTGTGAGAGTGTTGGGTTTCTAGAGCTGTGAACTGCCATGTAGGTTCTGGGAATTGACCCCCGGTCCTCTGGAAGAGCAGTCAGTTCTCTTAACCACTGAGCCATCTCTCCAGCCCCCCAGATATGTTTATTTCTACAGAATTTTATTGCTTGTAGGCTTTTATGATGCAGGATAAATGGGAAAGATACTGAGTTTTAGGCTTGCTGATTCAGACCATGGCAGAGCCTTCCTTCCCATTATGGTAAATGGCTCTAAATTTGGTTACAATATGTATGGTCACTATTACTGGGTTTTAGAAGAGGTAGAAATGATCACTAGGGAATGAAATTCCAAGTTGCAGGAAAGATAGCTATGGAGGAGAGAATGTCCAAGGTCTATGTGACTTTTTTTTTTTTTTTTTTTTTTTGTTTTTTGAGCGAGGGTTTTTTTTGTGTGGTTTGGGCGCCTATCCTGCCACTTGCTCTGGAGACCCAACGCCTGCTTCATGGTATCATTTAATTGTGCTCTGTGCACTGAATGAGCTGACATTTTGATGTTAGGTTTATGTTTGCCAACTTACCTCTGGCAAAACCTTTCCATCAATAGAACGACTTTAAGATCATCACTGAATATTTTAGTTAGAGTTTTATTATTTCTGCTCTTCATCAAT